TATAACATCTATTTCAATAATTGTTAAAAAAATAAGTAACATTTACCATTACTCACTAACGCATTTTCATTTTATCACAGAATGATCGGTGAAGTCATACATAAAAAGGCGTAAGTGAAATCATTATATATGTCGTGTTTCACTCACAATTTTTTCTTCAGATTTAGTCAATTGAAAGAAATGTCATAGTGCTTGTTTCTACTAGAGTTGTTACAAACCTATTCAATATTTATCCCATCAATTTTTTATTTTATTAGGTACATACTAAGATAAAATAAATATTATTGTATGTCTATCTAATAATAATAATAATAATACAATTTGTAATCTGTCAATATTTTACTTTTTTTTTGAGCTACATCTGAAGAATTAATTTATTTGGCACATTTTTTAACAATATTTCTTCTGTTTTATCTGGGATCATTATGTTGGCTTGAGATTAATATTTGCACCCTTTATTTCTGCATGCATAATTAGGGTTGCCACCTTCTTGAAAAGTGAATAAAGGACTACGATGCTGACAGGCTCCGGTATATAAAAAGTCCTCATCCTTCTACTAAAAAAAAAGTCCTCGGCTTATATATTTTTGCACAAACCATGTCCCTTCCAAAGATATGTGCTGTAAAAAAAGACATTTGCCCTAAAAAAGGACATTTTAAGCTTTAAAAATCCGCAATGACAGTTTGCTTCAAAAAAGGACTGGTGGCAACCCTATGCATAATTCAACTCGGCCTGTATATATGAGCTTTATTTTATATGTAATCTGTATAAGTGATATTTTTTTATCGAAACTACTGTGATTAGTTTATTAATATAATTTTTGGAGAAAGAATATTTAAAACTAAGTTAGTTTTCATTTCTAAATAAACATTATTTGGATTTATGTAATCAAAATATATTAGTAGGAGAGCCCACTGCAAATTTCGCCCGTCATCTGATAACGAAATAAAATATACTCCAAAGGCATGTAACAACATTGTACTTTACCAGACGTCACCTGTGCCAATCACTATCCTGGACAAAGTGGCTAAAAAATATTTAATATTAAAAAAATCACATGACAACGATAATTTTGGTTGACCAGAAAATTATAATCCTAATTCAATGTGAACCTACCTTTTAAACCTGAATTACTATTATTTTTACCTACATTTTAAAACCGAATTACTATTATTTTTGTGTGTGTGTGTGTGTGTGTGTGTGTGTGTGTGTGTGTGTGTGTGTGTGTGTGTGTGTGTGTGTGTGTGTGTGTGTGTGTGTGTGTGTGTGTGTGTGTGTGTGTGTGTGTGTGTGTGTGTGTGTGTGTGTGTGTGTGTGTGTGTGTGTGTGTGTGTGTGTGTGTGTGTGTGTGTGTGTGTGTGTGTGTGTGTGTGTGTGTGTGTGTGTGTGTGTGTGTGTGTGTGTGTGTGTGTGTGTGTGTGTGTGTGTGTGTGTGTGTGTGTGTGTGTGTGTGTGTGTGTGTGTGTGTGTGTGTGTGTGTGTGTGTGTGTGTGTGTGTGTGTGTGTGTGTGTGTGTGTGTGTGTGTGTGTGTGTGTGTGTGTGTGTGTGTGTGTGTGTGTGTGTGTGTGTGTGTGTGTGTGTGTGTGTGTGTGTGTGTGTGTGTGTGTGTGTGTGTGTGTGTGTGTGTGTGTGTGTGTGTGTGTGTGTGTGTGTGTGTGTGTGTGTGTGTGTGTGTGTGTGTGTGTGTGTGTGTGTGTGTGTGTGTGTGTGTGTGTGTGTGTGTGTGTGTGTGTGTGTGTGTGTGTGTGTGTGTGTGTGTGTGTGTGTGTGTGTGTGTGTGTGTGTGTGTGCGTGTGTGTGTGTGTGCGTGTGTGTGTGTGTGCGTGTGTGCGTGTGAGGGTGTGCGTGCGTGTGAGGGTGTGCGTGCGTGTGAGGGTGTGCGTGCGTGTGAGGGTGTGCGTGCGTGTGTCTCTGTGTGTGTATGTGTGGGCGGGCGTGCGCGTGTAAGTAACACGGATGGCATTGGATAAACCATTTGCACAGATAGTCAATAATAATTTTCCACTCTTGTTAGACAATTGTTTTCAACAATAACATAGTAGTTTTTTGTCGTTTCTATGACTACCTATAAAAATGAATCATAAAAATAAGTATACAAATAAATATTCACATCAGATAACATTGATTCATATTTTTATTGGTTTTTACATATTAATCATGGATATATGTTTTTTGTGCGATTTGAAGGGGAAGAAAGTGTTTCCCTTTAATCATGTACTCAAGAAATATTTGAATGTTATTTTCTGGAAAACTTTTAGGGCATACAAAATTATCGCTGTCATATCTTATGTGATCTTTTGAATATAATAGTGTATTAAAATACAAGTTGCAGAAGGCCACACGAATTTGAAATTGGCCACGAGCGACGAAGGAGCGAGTGGACGAACGAATGAGTGCGAGAACAACCTTCTGCTGCAACTTATGTTTTGTACTATTTTCTCGATTTTGGGCTTTACTTAGTTTTTTTTTGTTTTTCATTTTTTTGTGGTCGTTGTTGCATGGCATTTTTTCGCAAAATATGTCAGTTGGTAACTCTTAGTTATTACCCAACTGTCATTTTGCGTGCGAGATTGTAGAGATATTGCAAATTTCTATTACGTCAGCCACTAATAGTGACAACGTAATTAGAGGCAACTAAAATCCATGCTAAAATAAGACTTATTGCAAACCTGAAATTTTGACATTAGAGTCCTTGTCCTCATTTTAAAAATTTTAAATTACTGTTCATCTTTTTTGTTGTTTATAATAGTACATAATATGGAAGAAGCATTAGAAATTACTATTTTACAAGGTTTAGACGACGACGATATTGAATATTTAGTATTAAAAAACTTCGAACTGATACGAATGTTGGCGAGCGCACCTGAAAAGTATGAAGTCGCCACTAACTCTGTCCTTAAACGTCCACAATTAAGGACAGGCACAATCTTTATTAAAGTCAGTTCTAAAACGTAAGTGATCTGCGCATGCTCAGATGTCAAAATAAGAGCGGCACTAATAGTGACTGACCTCAAATTCGAGAAAATATTTTTATTAACTACTTTTCTCAGGATAGTGATTGGCACATTTGTCGTTTGGTAAAGTGCAATGTTTTACATGCTTTCGGGGCATATTTCATTTCGTTATCAGATGACGGCCAAAGTTTGCAGAGGGCTCTTGGGCTACAGTTATATTTAGAAATTAAATGGATTTCTATTATCGAATGTTAAGAATGCTAAAACAATTCGACTAGTAACATTCAACAATAACAATAACTTTTTTATCCAACTGGCAAAAAAAGACGACATTATTGGATGCCAAAGATACGTTCTCACTGTTGCAGAAACCTGTAGAAGGTTGACTTTTTGTTTTCTCGTGCAATAGATTGGACTGGCCGGTAACATATTTAAAATGCCACTGTTTGCCTCTTGTTTAATCTAAGACGGAGTGACACTATTACTTTCAAGTTCGCGATCCATCTTTAAATGAATCTAAAAATAAAGGAAATGAGAAAAATGCGAAGACCATGCCATGGTAATGTTGAGCGAGACCGTTTCCCTCCTGAAAACACTCTTCCTTTAGCTAATACCGCAACAGGCATTGAACTATATCTAAAGAAAAACAGCAGAGGTAGAAGAGTATATTTTGTAACAAGATTTGAATAAAAATTCGATACTAGTAGAAGATTCTGAACGCTAGCGTCAAGAACCACGAGTAGTACCGGATTTTCACTCCAATAAAGTAACAGAGTGTACTTTCTCTATGGTCACAGGCACAGTAAAGTTGAATATAGTAAAATGAAACTATGAACAAAATGATATAGTTAATCTAACTTATGTTAGGCTAGTTTTTACTCAAATCATTTGCAGAATTTGTCAGTTCAGGAGGAGTATTATCAAATCCATATCAGAATTATTTGAATTTAAGTTTGACTCGACAAACGCCGATTATCTTTATTCAGGCAAATTCAAACTAAATAATAATAATAATAATGTGTCGGGTAGAACTGTTAATCATGAAATTCATGGCTCTCTACGGTGCGGGTGTGACTTTCACGTCCATTGGCCAGTAACTATTACAGAGTGAATATCATATCACTAGAGTTCGAATGAAATACGTTTAATTAAAATACATAAGAGGCAAGTGTTCCAATATCTTCTTCCAATCTCAAGAGCGAGAATGTTTTCTTTCTGTAGTTATAAGTGGTTTCGAAAGAACTACATTCAGTAGTGGCTGTGGAGGAATTTATTTTCAATACTTTAATTTTGATTTTGCTTATAAAGCAGAACGTCATTCTTGCACCGGTATCGTCCTTTAGTGTAGTTGTTTTCGAAAGGGAGACGATCGCTTAACGCTTCTGTCATGGTCTTTGAGTTTTTATTATTTTCTTTATTTTTATTTCCTTTGTTTAAATGGATCGTTAAATTATCGGACATCGGAAAAACCGAAGCGATTGTTTGACACTTTAAACGTCAAAACGATTACATAAAAATTATGAAGACGTTTCTATGGTTACAAAAGTCAAAGTAATGTCAATCCGAATTTTTACATGAAATTTTCTGCATTAAATTGAAATGCAATAAATGTTTGACATTATTGTTTGCATAGTTGGACAAAAAATATGTATTTGTTTGTATTCGAAATCAGTATTTTTGAAATTGTCAATCTCATGCGCCGTTTAAAAATTACTGCTTTCGCGTACTTAAAACAAAAATAAATATTTTACATGCTTATTTTCAATTACATCTATCAATACTTTATATGCTGTATATATAGATACTGATCAACAAAAAATATTTTTAGAATAGGCCTTGACCGACAAGGACAGAGATCGAGTCATGTCCGTGATAATTACGGCACCGCTCTAAATTAAATCCAAACTGACAATTAAAAGGAAGAAGAATTGTACGATTTGACATACATTAATTTTTCCAAGGTCTACTTTAGAAATATTTTTTGTGGATCATTCCTTATTAGGTCATACATAAATATATTTTTTTTAACTTTTCTTTTTTCGCAGGCCAACAATGATGAGCAAAATGCACTTTCTTCAGACATTCTTACATATGATACAAATGGTTGTATCTTACTTTCTCATGTTGATTTTCATGACGTACAACACTTGGCTGTGTATAGCTGTGGTATTAGGAGCAGGCACGGGATACTTCTTATTCGGTTGGAAAAAATCAGTGGTGGTTGACGTTACGGAACATTGTCACTGATACAAATCGGAAGAGATAGTAAAATATTTAGGGCTTTAAGATATATCTAAAACATGTATTCTAGTGTAAGATAAAAAAACATTCATGCAATTGAGAAAGGTCTAGAAATAAGATTATTTCTAAAATAATAAGATTCATCAGTAAATCATCGTATTAAATAAATATTTTAATTAGTATGCTATGAGATAGCAATTGGCAAGCTTTGATATTACTGGGTACTAGGTAAAAAAAAATATGTACTTAAATCTAATTTTGTAGACTTTTCTCGATGCCTATTGTGCAAAGTTAATAAAGGTGATTTACAAAAGTTTTCCATGGTCTTCCACAACATAATTTTTGTAAATCTTACTTTTGAATGAAAAAATATAAAAGTTTACAATGTCACAAAAAATGGTATTTTCAGAAAACGAATTTTAAAATTATAGATAGAAACATGTCAAAACAAACTTATATTGAACTCTTGAAGTTTTAAAAACGACAATATAAATTTCTTATATCCCTTGGTATGCCTCTATTTACATAAATGAAGAGATTGCATGCTCAAAAAAATATACATATAAATTGAATTGAATCAATCAATTCAATATAAAGTTAATCATTGCCATTACAATGCCAGGTTTACTTTTAAAACATAGAATCTGTCAATGATTATGTTTAGTTTGAAATTTCAAATCTTTGAAGTTATCACATAGAGGCTGTTAATAGTATATTTAAATTTTTTGTACCAAAATTGCTTTATATTTATTACCATGACATTCAGATAATATAAATTTTGCGTTATTAAATACTTTTGATTGTATTAAATACAATATACAAATTTTTAACAAATGTTAAAAATTTGTTTATTTATTTTTTTTTCTTTAGATGACCGCCTTATAATATAAGAGTTATCCAATTAAGACTGAACTGTTTTTATACTTTTTATTTTAACAGTGTAAGTATATTTTTATTGTTCGCTTCTTAGATATGTGCCGAGTATTTAGTCCTCCAGTTCAGTAACAGTAGGGTATTGTTAGCCATCAAAATATTTTTTAGAATCATTTAACAGTTTTTATTGTTTTAAACATTATGTAAACCTAAAAAGTCGTGTATACAACACCTATATACACGACTTTTTCATTATATTTTTATTAGGTTAAGTATGAGATTATTTTATTAATACAGAAAAAATACAAATATATCTTATTATTATTATTTGGTTTTTATTTATAGGTATGGTTAACATATTATATAGTATATTACATTACGAGTGTGGAAAATCACTTTTCACACAAGTGATGTACAATATTTTTCCTACGACCACAAAATAATTTCATCAAAAAATGTAAAACCAGATTATTATAATAATTAAAATGTATTTAAAAAAATAATCAACAATAATCGTATTTATTAAATTTTCATAATTTCTAAACAAATAAAAAAAAATAAAAAAAAAAATAAAAAAAAAATTCTGGCACAGCCAGGATTCGATCGCGGTCGTTGGACGGTCTCAAATTGCAAAGTTGATGCTCTAACCAACTGAGCTAACAGGCCTTACGGTAATTGATTGATCTAATCGCTTATGTGTTTAACCAGAATAAAAAGCAAATATATCTTAGTTATTTTAAAATTATTTTAAAAATAATTGTTAAAGATAAATATCTAGGATCTAATTTACAATAATTTAACAATCATATCGATTTTAGTATTAATATGGACATTACATAGATCAAAATAGAAATTATGTGTTTGACATTTTCTGACAGCTACTGCGGAAAGTAGCATATTCTCACTTGGGTGGAAAGTAAATTCTTATTCATACGCGTGTGATATAGGGCACTTTCCATAGGTCTATATAGTGTGATATGTGTCACTTTCCTAAGTGGTCGTAGGAAAAATTATTTTCATAATTACAGGCAGTTAAGAGCTTATTTGCATTACAATAAATTGTTAAAATTGTTATAAATTATATTAGCATTTTTTTTTTAATATTGTGCCTAAATCTATTAACATATGAATAAAATATTATAAGATTATCCAGAGAGTTTGCCAGTTGAAGTATCCGAGAAATACAACTGTTAAAAATATCTTAAAAGGACTACAAAACGAAAAAGTATGCTATTGCGTTCAACTGAACCAATATATTTTATATCCATTCTAGGTAGTGAGAACACTGCAAAAAAATGAAATCAACCAATCACAGTTCAAATTTTAGACACCCAACTACTATTATTTTTAAAATTTTAAAAGTGACAATTCTGTCAAATTAATTGTCAGTATATTTTTTAGTTAAATATACATTAAAATGAGCTATTTTTGTGTAGAATCGATAAATAATTGCATTTTTATTTGGTCCATATTTTGAAAAATTTTAATCAAACTATATGAAACTAATTTAATTACGAGTATTAAAACTAAAATTGTAAAAGCGGCAGTGGAGCTGTGAACAGAGCTTCTGCGTTTCACGCGAAAAATCCGGGATCAATTCCTGACTGGAATAATTAAATTAATCTTTTTTTGTATTTGTTTTATTTTATAAATTATTAAAATTAATAAATTATTTCAAAATTAGTTATTTTGTCTTAATAACCTAAAATAGTTTTTTAAATTTGTAGATTTTCGTTAGAAAAAATATACTGTACAACTATCCACTCTTGTTGCACAAACTACTATTGTGATTGCCTGGTATTACAAGTAGGAAAAAAATAATTAATTTTCGATAGGACAGTCATAGCTTCCATTAACTTTATTAAAAAGTAATATCAGGTCTGTATGGTTTCTTCTGGTTTCCAGAGAAGGCATATTTAAAAACTGCTCCTTGGATAGTCAGAATAATAAAACATCACATCGATCACCAAATCACATATTTTAGTAATAAATAGAAGCCGACATCTAGCCTTTCTTGTTTTTCACACATTATGCATTAGAAACAAATCTCGGATAAAAAGAAAATTGAGCTGTATTATATCTCCATTCCATGTAATTATAAAAGAAAGTGTATTCCATTCTTATTTACTGGATAAAGTGAATAAATTTGTTATATTTTCGTTTTATTCCATACTGATCATTCATGAAGACAAGAAAAATATTAATGATCGATTAGTCCTTTAAATGTATAAATATGATTCACCCCTCATCGATGGTATACTTGCTGAAACTTGGCTTACTTCAGATTTTTCCAATCGTGAATTAGCAAAGAGTAGAAATAACAAGAAGCAGAGCGAGAAACTAAAATCAATTTAAATGGATTCTATAGGTGGCGGCTGCTTATTTATGTAGTATATTGTAAGCAGGTGATTTTAATACAGTTGCGCGTTATGTGACAACTAGTATTTATCGATTGATCCTCTGTAATTTTATTTGTTTGGTGTTAATTATTTTTATTAATAAAATTGAACATTTTCAGATGGAAACAACGTAAAATGTAGTAAATTTGTAAACATTTCGTACGCTCATGGGTACCATTTTAGACGACTGGCGCCATATGACCGTTCTCCGACAACGACCCATTGTAAAAAGTCATGTAAAAAGTATAGTAGTAGCCACACATACTTCGATGTAATCAAAGTATGTGAGTAGCCAGTTCATTCATAAACAATGTTTTATATTTCACTCGTTTGAATGAAGTGTGACTAAGCGATCACCTTGTTGCAGTTTAATATAGTTCAAACTTTCTTGCTGATAATTTCATCAAATTTTTTATGGTTACATTATGTACGTTTGTTCCATTAGGATATTCCCTTTTTAATAATTTTGAGAGCTTTTCTAATACCTACATCATAAAATACAATTGAAGACACAAAAGGGGTCATGTCACATTTTTTGAAAAAATGATTTTCTTTTTATATGATGATGGATTACGAATGACCTATAACGGATGTTAAATGGTGGATTATGAATGATTGGATGATTGATGACATATGACGGATGTTAAATGGTAGATGAGGAATAACGGATGTTAAGTGAAGGATGATAGATATTGGATAATAGAAGATAGATGATGATGGATGGCCGATCACGAATTACATATGACGGATGTTTAATGATGGATGACAAATGACGGATAATAGATGATTGGAAATGATGTACGATTGGAAGTTGGATGGGGGATAATGGATGATGATAGATATGTACGTTAGGCGATGAATGATGATGTAAACGGTGATCAGAAAAATGTAGTTTTCTTCCAGAGTTGCTAATTGAAGATTGGCTGAAGATGAAGGCGTTTGTGCATACATAAAAAAGTTTTATTGTATTTATGTCACGTAACACCCCTCAAGAGTTAGTGACGCTTTTAAATCTTTCCAGATCCGTTTCTGCGAGGCAGATCAGTCCCCATTCTGGAATTTTTAAAACCATTACGATCTTGGATCTCTATTAATTTTATTTCTTGTATTTTTATATTAGCTATTTATTGTATCAGTTGAATTTTCTTCGTTTTATTATTCATACCCTTATCATTGCCATTATCATCATAATTATTATTCACACATATATTCAAGGGTAATATACCAAGACCATGGTAATAGTCGGATATTTTTGTTGTATCTAAATCTCGAGAAAATTTAATATTAATTTGATGAAACATAATTTTTGGCATTAATAATCTGATTAGAGCCCGAGAGCTTTAGCTCGAGGGCTTTAATCAATTGATTATTAATGCCAAAATTATGTAGAATCAAATTGTAAATGTTAGAGAAATTTAGCAACAACAAAAATAGCAGAATATTAATCAAGGTCGTGTTATATTTGGAACGACTATTTCACTAGACCAAATATTGACTATTTCTCTAGAGAAATAGTCGCTGATATTTGGTCTAGGGAAATGCTGATATTTGGTCTAGGGAAATAGTCTGCTTTATTACTTTTTAACTAGTTTTCATTATTTTATTTATCTGTTTAATTTGACGTATTATTGCATTTAAAAATATGTTGTTTTCTGTTTTTAATAGGTGTATTTTACTTGTATTTAAAATATTTTATTACGTAAAAAAATTAAATTATTTATTATAAAACTATTTTTTAGTAACAGAGGAACAAAAGTTAAACTCTCAGTAAATATTACAATAAACATATTATGTAAAGACTGAAATTAATACTAATAAAGTTAATAATTAAAATAAATACTCTGTAAAATAAACCACTAATAAAATTACTAAAACGAGGTACAATAAGTAATAAACTGACAATTATAATTTGTTTGATGCAACTATAATACTAAATAAAAGAAGATACCACACCAAACTTATAGAAATATTATTCCAATCTTGTTTGCTTGGAAATTAAAAAAAAAATTTGACATGGTGAAATCCGTCAACCGGGGGTTGATAATTAATTTAAATAATTCTTATATATTACATATTATATTCAAATTTTTATTTCGAATTCAAACAACATCCCAGCGTATCCCGCCTCGTAGGCGCCGTTAAATTACTTCTGGGAAAAACGGTCTTTGTGTCGTTTCTCACGAACGCTAGCTAAAAAACCATATGTCACCGATAGGGTTATATTCAGGAATTAATACAGGGCTTTATAGTCTTTATACACCAAAGCCACAGTCGGTCTCTGTCTGATACATTTGCTTATATGGGAAATTTAAGTATAAATACCCGGGTTTTTGTAGGCTGGTGGAACATTAGCTTTTTCTTCTTCGCCGAGTCGAGTTAAAAAACGCAAATATCCAGGTTACCGTCACGGTGGCTCCTTTTTCTTTATATTCTTCAAATATAATTAAAAAGAGATATCGCTACCCTTACGGTGGCCGCGCTTTTGTTATATTTTGACAACGGAACTAAAAGATATCGACAGAGTAGAGAAATTAATTTCTATAAACGACGGCTTCTGCATAGATATCCAGTTATCCTTAGGATGACCACCTTTTTCTTATATTTTATATATAAGTAAAAGGAGATATATAGTCAGGTTGACCAAGCAGATACACGTTGAATAGAACCAGATTTCACTCCTAGAACTGTTTTGTAAAGTTGTATCTACCGAGCGACTAAAATATTGGCGTAACTAATACTGGTGATACCTCGCTAGTCTAGTTAAACGCCAGATATTTTGTATTTCCGATTCAACATTATAAAATGTTACTAAATGATTAAAATTATTACTCTAGGCGACGTTCGTAGTGGATTTCGTCACCCTTTTGGCTGACCCGACGAACTTGCGCCAGGTAGACACTTTTATCAGCGGTATACTTTTCTTTCTGTAAGGTTTCTTTTACGTAGAATTAAAACGATAATCGCACTATTAAAGTAATCAAACTAGTATTTAATATTCAGATATTCCGGGGGAGAATTTAGACAAACATTAATAGGTTACAGGTATCACTTTATTACTTTTATATTCATTAGCGGGAAAATTCGCGTCTGTGTGTTATTGTCATATTTTTGGTATTCATTGGTAAACGTTTATTGTGGGAAAAATTATAGGGTTTTTATATTGTGCTAAATTATGTTATTTAGAGAATCGATAGTGATGTTGTTGTCATAAATATTAATTGTTCTAAAGTCGGTCAATGCTCTCAAGCAATAAATTAAGTCATTTAGATTTATGGCCAAAGGGCCGAATTGTAAAGTTTCGGTTGTCTGTAAACAGTACCTGCCCCTTTCAGTAAAGATAAAAAGCACTTTCGGTTTTACTTTTAAATGGCAAACAGATGTAGATTAGTAGGGTAAACGCCTTAATTTGTATATATTTTACGGTTAGATTGCGGTTAAAAAATGTTTTCTGTCGTTCTTTGTAAAACAAAATTGGGTAGACAAATGTGTCATTTTAGCCGTACGGAATTTTAGTTTTGTGTATCGAATTTTCGGGAAAAAGGAGGTATGTACAGCGGCGGGTAGAATCATGAATATTGAGGGGGGTCGTATTTATTTGTACATATCCACATATCTTTAGCGGGACATTACGCGGAAGTAGTCGGTATGTTTGTTATTTATTTAGAATAAATAGGTGAAATTGTGTTTGTGGACTAGCTAACGTATCCTCAGAACTGTGATTAATAACACTGATTTGTCAATCGACAGAGCAAAAGAGCATCGTGCCAAAAAAGACGCCTTAGGCCACCATAGACCTCAATAGTAAGGGCCTAAAAATGGTATTTCCCTTGCGGCTATGTAAATTAAAGCCTGATAGAGGCTTGGATGGATCTCTACTGAGATACCCCAAAAGTGGGCCTGACGGGCATCCCCCTTTATATCAGGTGTTCTCCGATCGACCGTTTAGTGTTGTCCACACAGGACTGAGTATGTCGGTAAATTACGGCGTTGGAATATTAGAGAAAGGCGTGACGCACGGTGAGGTAAATCTACACTCCGGTTTTTACACATATTAGAAATATTAAATTTAACCGACTTCAAAAAGGAAGAGGTTCTCAATTCAACACAATATTTTAGATCTCACAACACTCCTCGTGCTACCGTTGTACTGTCTTTTATTAGACAATGCGTAATTCAGTAGTTCCGTGGAAACGTGTGATTGTATATTAGGAGACAAACAAACATACCAAAGTACTTCCGACTTTTATTTTACCCTTTTATGGGAACTAAAAGCTCTGAGGTTAGAAATGACACATTAGAAAGCCTACATAAACATAATGTTAAGCCTAAAAATGGCACATAATCTAAATGTTCGGCTGTACAAAAGAATATATGTTAAATAAACAGTATTCAAAATTAATCTCGGTGTTTCCTTTGTTCTTCCTCCATTACAGCTACATTGAACTCTAAACGAAATTCTGGGGGTTTTAACATCACTTCGTGGGGATCTACTAGACGAAATTTAGGCCAAGGTTATAAGTATTTGCAAAACTAGGTCAGGGTCCGGTTTGTCAAGTTATAATGGAGTTATTGTTTCATTAGGGAAACTTGGCAACATTGCAGGATGCATATGGCTGCGAAATGAAAGGATGCATTATAGCTTCATAATGTAAGAAAAAGTATACTTATTTCTTGAGATTCCATGTACAACTTTTTTAACAGATTCAATATTTAACGAAATGCGCTAAACAGGTGTTGTCTGCAAGACGCAAAATAGCCGCAAGCTATATATAAAAACCGTTTAAATTCTTCGCTCCAATATGAATTAGGAAAGAAAAGAAATCTGTATTATTTATTAATTGAACTCATTCTGTGATTAACTCCTTCTGTATGGTCTTAGGAATAATAAGTAATATCGAGGCCTCCAGCCAATAATTGTTTGCTTTTTTTATTTTAAAGTTTACTCCAATAGGATAACTTTTTACATTTAAATTTTTAATTTATATTAATAAGTTATACTTTTTCCCAATGTTTTATTGTAAATGTTAATCTCAGTTTATTTACCTATAAGAAGATGAATCTGTACAAAATCTTGTAGTTTTTTTTTTTATTCAATAAAGAACTAATTGTTTTAAATTAAAAAGAAAACTTTAATGGTCAAATCGTCCGAAATATTATCACAATATTATGTTACATTATTGTATTCAGCATTAAACGTGCATTAAAATATGTCGGAATAATACTGGTTCATATCCAAATAAAGTTTTTTTTTAACAAATTGGGCCATAAACGGAAGAACTGTTTTCTGAACATTTGAATATACACGGTATTTTTGGGAAAAATTTATTTTTTTTTAACCCGAATTATCCATTTTTGAGCCAAATTTGTCATTTTACTAGACCAAAATTGACAATTTTTGAACGACATTGCCAATTTGTGACAGAAGTGAAGTGGGATTTTTTTTAAATTGGCTATTTGAGACGTGACAAAAATTGTATTTTTTAAAAAATTTTAATGTCTCAAAAACCGTCCTTGATATTTTGGTTTTCAGAACGTCCTCAGATTGGGCTTCGAAATATACAACTTTTCCCCAATTTAACTAACTTTGCTCACCAACGGTTTGCAAGATAGCAATACATTTCAATTAAACAGTGGCCACTTTATAATCAAATTCATGGTTTTCATAGGCAAAAACAAATCCTAATTGGCCCGAATCTTTTTTTATTTTTCAACAAAATTTTTAGGATTCACATTTTTCAACATCAAAATCTGCCCATAAGAAATTAGTTTAGGTGGTCTGCAAGGAGCTGCTATCTGTGGATTATTATTGTTGAATTTGGTTTGCATAAAGATTGTCTTGCAAACTGGTTCTAGAAACCAATTTTTTCACCAATTATTTTACCAAACTTCCTGCAAAACAAAATTTATCTCTAAACAAAACCGAAATTAAATGATTTATATATTAAAAAATATATAATAAACTTGAAATAATCTTTATTTCATAGAACATATACAAAAAAGTAACATTTCGATCAAATTTTCCATGTAAGCACCTAGTGCTAGTAAGAAAGAATACAAATGCATGAAAAACTACAACGTTCGCTGCTGCATTATTAATGCTCAATTTTATGGTTCTTGATAAATTGCTGGTCGCCTTCAGAAACGAATCGTTTACGACCGCGAGATGGCATCTTCTTCATCACATTTTCAGTCAGGAAGCCGAAAGACTGACAGCGCTCTACAAACCTGTAAATCAAAAATTAAATTCGTTAAACATATGCGTAGGCGTCCTAGTGTCATACTAAGGATATACAAATTTATTTAAAATTGTAATTTTCATATTCTTTTTATGAAGTTTAATTTTTTTTTAATTATTTTAAGAAAATATGAAATTTATGTTAAATGTTAATAACACACTTAACTTAAAAAAAAAATAATGAAAATAAAGGGCGAAATATGTAGGTCAATTTTTATTTTAGTTCAATAACTATTACAATAATTTGTCAGATCAAATGGCTAAACGAAGCATATATAAATTATTTTATGTTATTCCAAGACACAATAAAAAATTCAAGCGACTGACTCAACTCACTAGACTATATTCCATCCGAGCACATCTCACAACGGTCCGGCCCCTAACAATGCATAGCAATATATTGAAAGCGGTTACGTCATACATACAGAAAATACGTGTTTAATATGTTTAAACGGGGCCGCCTGATCGAATGGCTCCAAAGTTAGAGTTGTAGGTAACTGCATCGTGGGCTGGGCCACATAAGTTGAATGTTTTTTTTTAGCTTTTGTATAATAATAAATACAAATACTGTTTACAAATCGTCCGAGACAAATAAAATAAGCAATCTGTTAATTAAATATTTTCCTATATATATGTATTTAAAAAATAACTGGATTGGTGGATGTGATCAAAAAAGCATTTTTTTTGTTTTGCGAGTTTTGTTGGGGACGATCAAAATGTGTGTGATCTTGCATACTCACTCATTTTTTCTTTAAATAAATTCAAATAACAACTAAATAATGAGTCAAATACAATTGACTTTAGTAAACCAGACATATCTAGAAATAATTGATACTTGAACATTATAATTACCTGTCTAAAATTATATAAGCCAGTGGAACATCCATAGAAATATCAGGAAGATCATCAAACACCCTCAGAAAACCGCGTTCCATCTGGTCCGGAGTGATGAGAATGGCATCTGAGAAAGCTTTTAGTAGGTTACAAAGTCCTTCTTCTTTAATTGTGCTGTTCGCCTCTAAAGCCATGACAATGGATTCGTAAACGAGCTCGTGGTGAAAATGCGGTACTTCCAATAGCCTCAGACAGCGGCTGGCTTCTTCTATATCGCTGGACGAAAGAAATTCTTGGAGGAGCAAGGACATCTGGCGAGTCAAGTATTTGACAGGTCTTAAGGCTCCGCCTGGAAAGTAATGTTGTTTAATGAAAAAAAAAAAAATAAGTATGTAATGGTTCTTTTTTAGTAAATATATATACATTTTTTTAGAATAACGAATTATATTTTTGGCATCTTTTGTGTATTTATTATAATTCAATAAGAATTCTGTATTAAATTCAAAATGCAAAAAGTGATCATTGAAGTACCGAAACATTATATAAAGATAACTTATTTACATTACAAATATCTATAATGTACAATAATTATGTGTTTCTATTTGTTACACACTAGCTCAGTTCTGCAAATTCCATCTACATCATAAATTATATTCAATAACTAACCCTTTCTATTATAGGACTTTTTTAATGGATGTATGGATGGCATCAGACATGCAAGTCTATTTACCACAGAAAGTATAAACTTGATAATTTTTATAAAGTTATATTTGGATACATCTCAAAAGTGTATGGAAAAAATTCAGATTTGAAATTTTTTTTACTAAACTGACTTCTCCAACAAAAAATGGTGTTACCTTTAGTAAAGAAAAATTAAATTGGATTAATATTACATAATTACAAAATAATAGACTACCTAATAATTTTGTTTGAAAAACATTAGGTATCTAAAAAAATAATACTACTTTTAATATTTAAACTATCGTTATATCTCATAGACAATCAATATAGGACCACACCTCAAATTCCATATTATCTTTATAACAATACCTATATAGTTCAAAACTACTTCGAATTATAATTTTTATCTCTCATTTATAATTATAAACAGGTTTCATTGTCAGCTATCTTAATTAGTATATATTTTATAAATAATGAAATAGTGTCAATGGAATTTTAAATATTTTCTTATGCATTTTCAATATTCTCTTATGAAAACCCAGTTTCTATATTGTGAGTTTCATAAACTTTAACTAAATATATTATGCAAAATATAATTTTGATGCCCAAAGAAACTTAAAAGGTTTATTAAAAGAAACATTCCATATATTATATTGTTAAAAAATAGCCTTCTCATTTTTTTTTATTATTTTAATTTCTCAATCAAACTGTGACCATCATGATGTAGATGCCTGAACACTTTGACACGGCAGTGTGACGTGACCACTGAACTCCTTAGAGCAGTAATATATGCTCGAAGCTGAACCAATGGAACGCTACCTAATCAAAAATGGCACAGCTCTGAGATATTTAGTTACATTACAATGCATGCTTTATCTTGAACTTGCTTACTCTAAAATTAATTTAAACGAAGCTGTAGAGGAGATATTCTGTGATTTGACTAAGGTGTTTTATTGTGTCAATCATACAGTATTGTTGCAAAAATTTCTAGTTTACGGAATTTAAGACGAAGCGCTGATAAAATCTTATCTTTCAGAACGCAAGAAAATGGTAAGTTATTATGTACGCTCAAGTTTTAGATATAAGTTGGGGAGTCCCTCAGAGTTCTGTACTGAGTGCCATTTTATTCCTTCTTTATATAAATGACTTAATTTAACTTAACATTGTAAGTACTTTCACTATAATTGCTGACGACACTACGACTTTATGGCATAGAAATGATACCTATATACCAAGGCATCAGAATTAATTTTAAATAATTAAATTAAATGAAAAAATTCCGCCCAACGGTGGGATTCGAACCTGGGACCCTTGGATCCGCAGGCAGAGACTCTACCACTGAGCCACCCACCCCGTTATATCCTGAATTATTAAAATTTGAAGCTTGAGTTTTCATTTTATTAGAAATTTGGGCAACTGGTTGCATAAAGTAGATCGTTTTTACACTTGCTGCGATTACAAAAGATGTCACTTTATATACCAAAATTAGAAAATGTATTAATGCAACCATAACTAAAATTTCTGTAAACGAGATGATGCGGGTTCGACTCCCGGCAATGACAGGTTTTTTTTTAAATCTACAAATATTTGTTTTAACATTTGGGATCCAGGGATGGTCTTAATAATTCGTTCCGAATTTTCAAATTTAACTTATTTTCAGATAATTCTTTCCTTTCGGATTTCGATTTTCGATCTATATGTTAAATTCACATTTTTTTAAAATTCTATATTATAGTCTGGTGCAACCCAAAGTTGAAATTCGCGTCGGTTATCTGGATACATGAATATAAAACAATACCAAATGAAAATATACAAAACATACAAAATAAATTACTTAGGCATTTATATTTTAAAAAATACCATAAATGGTTGGATTAGAGAACAGTGAGAAAAACTCAACTCAGGTCAGCATTTAAGATCTCGTTACTGGAACAAAGGAGAAATTGAACAGCACCAATGTTCCTTTATAAAGTTATCAATAACAAAATAGATTCCCCGAAAACGTTTTTTTTTTTTCTATTTTAATGGCACTGACAGAGCCAACAGGCCAGTCACGCTCCGGAAACTTTAAACTACCTTTTAATATGCCACCTTAATAAACTCGTTACTACCATTTATTTAATATACCTTACAAGCTCAATGCGAAAAAATCACCCCTTTTAAAAATTCTTAGATTAGCAAATCAAATCAATGATCTCATTATTTTGGATTAGATAACAGCGGAATTTCATACTAATATCCTTAACTATTTACTGCAGACCTCAACATAAATAAATTTTAGAATTTTATTTAACAGAATAAAACTATATTTTGAGAATATTTATATAATAAATGTAATTAGGCCAGTAATAGGCTTGTTTGGATTAATAAAATAAGTAACTTACCGACTCCCCAGACATTGTGCAACCTCACTAGGCCATGTTTCATAGAAAGTAGTGTATCAGCCCTGCTGAGAGCTTCTTGGAAGTCCTTATTGTCACTTTTCTGCTTCGTGGCGATTATAAATTTGGGGGGAATGCAATCGTCGGCAATGGCACGGGCAATAAAATTGCCTAAAACTGTGGGAGCGTCTGGAATGTCCAGAATCAAATCGTTCAGATTAGCCAACAAGTTTTCGAAAGCCTTGCTGATGTCAGACTCGTTTATAGTATAGGGAAATAGATCGGAGATAAGCACAGATGTCATTTCCCTATAATTTAAATGTAAGATAATTAATACACTATATTAGTGTGACGTAATTTGTGTTCCAATGACAGATTACTTTTAACAAAAACATTCTGCAATTGAAATTGACACAAATATACGTATTTTAAGTGTTGTTTGCACGTCGTAAAAAAATAGTTTAAAGGTATAAAACTAAATTATATTAATGTTTAAATGAATACAATCTTGAAAATAATAGAAATAAAATTCCTATAACCTCTATTTTTGTCAGTGTCATTTGTGATTGGATTACAAAGTACTAATATAGCATATTTCATTTAAATTTTCTATACAGGGTGGGCACCGGTAACGCCTCAGTCTGTGGAACCAAAATTAGTTGATTTTTCTAAAAATCTGTTTTCAGAGCAAGATGTATATCAGAAAAGACAACAATTTAAATACAATTTCAATTATACAGGGTTCTCCAAGAAAGTGATACATATCAAAATTATGTTTTTTTTAAATAGGGCACATTTTATTTTATATTAGAATGGCCCATCCTGTGTACTGAAATCTCGATAGTTTGCAAACTGATATCATTGAAACAACGTTCCATATGTAGAGTTTGTTGACAGTAAGTTCAGTGCGTAGCCAATCGAAAATACAAAAAAAAAAAGGTATTTTATAAATGTTTAAGACTATTTCTATTTTGTAATTAAAGCATGAAAATTCTATTGATTTTATTTTTTTACAAATTACTTTTAACTCATTTATTGATAAATTATTACGTAAAATTCGATGCATTTGGTGAAATTGTTTTACGTTTGGCAACGCAACCATGTGTACATGTGAGATCAGATTGTCGGAGATTTATCTTATGTTGCCATACCAGAGTTTATTGTTTACCACTCACAGAGCACTATGAAATACAAATATAAAGTTAGTTAACTAAAAATTAGCAACGCAGAACAATACATTCAGTTTCACTGTCCCAGTTCTTTGGTGTCAGCTGGAACAGGTAAATCCCAGGTATTTCTTATTTCGCTATTATCTATAACTTATTTGAAAATAGATCAGAGCATACCAAATGCGCTAGTAAAACTGTAAAAATAGTAAAGGAGTCTAATTTATCGCCAGGTAAACATATAATCTTTGGATGCAGTAGAAATGTGTTCTGAATGTAAACAAGTTTTAATAACTACAGTTTTTAAAGTTTAAAAAAAAACAAACCGAACATATTACCAGAAATCGAAAAATAAAAAAACAGTCTTGAAGATCATATTAAATATGCAATTCGCTGAAAAATACGTTTAAAAAAACCTGGGCTTAATTAAAAAACAATAATACATAGTCTGGCCAAAAATATTGCTAAATGTTTTAATCCTGAGTATAGCCGGAATGAAATTTAAGTGATTTAGACAAAAATCTAATAGTGCTCAAATCAAAACAGACGAAATTATCGTATGAAACTTACGTAAACAAAGGTTTTACCATTTATAGTGTATGGCAAGATTTATTGGTAACTAACTGATGAATGTGTATTTTCTTGAAAGACTTTCTACTGGACTAAAACCACCCGCGACTATCATAAAAATATGAATGCCGACACTTTTACGGTTAAAATCCGGGTCAGTAATGCTTACAATAATGTGTCATACAATAATCACCATGCCGAGGATCACTTTCTAACCATAGCGTGGAAAAAAACAGAAATACAGATTTAGCTAAATTTAAAGGATATTATATTATAAATAATAATAAAGCCTTTGTAATAATAATAACCTTTATTGCCCAACAGATTTTTAAAATCCCTTTGCAGGTATATAAAATTACAATAATTAAAAATTAATACACAATACCTACAATATGATGATAAGATATGACAAAGTTACCATAAATTTAAATTCAATGGAAACGACCCTATTTGTAGTACAAATGAAGAAAAATCTAAATGAATAACTTTTTTGTAAAAACCAAACGAATAGTTATCACAAGCAGATAATTTGTTATTTTTTATTTAATCTGTAAAGATGTGACAGGAATTACACCTGTTCTACTGACGATCAGGAACCAGTTGGACGCATGAAGTGTTTTATTGTTGGTAGCCGTTCCCATTGTGGTAACCACTATTGAATTCCTTTTATTTTTTTTTTTAATTATTTCTATTGAAAACATAACATCTTTAAAAGGACTGCAGAAATTGTACTATTTTAATATTTTAGCTTCAAAGTAAAAGGTATAGTTGCAGTAGTACTCTTAGGTACATTCACATCACTAATTAAGATTAATAATGTCATTTTAAGCTTTGCTTATTTCTTAAAGACTAAAGGTGCGAATGGAACTTGTTCCTCCAAAGGATTGGATTAGATGTAATATATAATGCATATAAGTCCACCACTGAACCCTTTGGATGTTGAATTTTCTCTTGGAGCTGTAAACTATATTATGCACTACAGCAACTATAATTTAAGCTCCAAACATTAATTGACAATGACTGATGACATCAATTTACAAACGATTCAGATTTCCGTATAGGTGCATCAAAGTTAAGTGTCACAAATGGACAGACTTAAGAAATTCACAAGTTATTATACATCACTAACAAATCAATTTACAATATCCTTAAATATTTTAATTTTCTTCCAGTATTGTATCTAAATGCTGACTGGAAAAGGTTTAGAAAAGTTCTAGGCACTTATTTTCACCACTCTGTATAAACGAAAAGCTCCTAAAGTTATCTTACCTGTGAGATGGCTTGTGGTCCATAGCAATTTCAATTAATTGTTCTACCAGAGCATCTCTGCGGGTAAGGGGTATCTGCTCATCAATAGAGAGGACTGCTTCATGGGTGTCACCATTCTCAAAATATTCGAGAACGATGGGTTCCACTTTTTTCTTGATTTCTACATCAGAAACCTCAGGTACAACTGCTTTAAGTTCTATGTCACCATTGCTCATATTTTCAGCGTCAAAGTTGGGGTCATTCACGTCTTCATAGGTCTCCAATAATTCAGAACCAGGGAGACCCCAGACACCTTTGCCACCTGCACCTTTCTTCTTGGGAAGGCCTCGTCCAAAACCATTTCTTGACCTAGATTTACCCATACTTATTATAGGTCGATGCAAATGTAAATTTGTAAGCTTTGTGATCCAAAATATTTAATTATTTTAAAAGATTCAAATATATTTTTGGGTTGTTTTGTTTAAGCTAAAGCTATATTGTGTATTGTTTTTCTGTTTTAATAATGTTATAAAATTATTTGTGGGTTAACCATACTTTTTATAAACATATTACAATAAAAAATATAACATTAAAAAAAAATCTAAAAAATAATTGTTTTAAATAGAAGTGATCTAATGAAATCATTGTAGTCCTGTTTGTTAATCTTTTGACTACAGGACTCATAGGAATTTTTTTCCTATATGAATTTTTGACATTTTTCTATATATCGGAAATTTATGACATTTTCTTACATATAGGAAAGTGTCACAAATTCCTATAGGAAAAGGTAAAAAAAAAAAAAAAAAAAAAAAAAAAAAAAAAAAAAAAAAAAACTGGATAACTCCAGATATTTTGAGGATGGGAGCTGATATAAGGAATTTATTTTGGTTAGTAAAAAATTCTAATGATGTGAATATACATATTAGATACAAAGAAGCAAAGAGACAATATGTCAATAATATAAATGGAGCAAAAAAATCTCATTTTCAAAAGGGATTGCAAAATAAAACTTTTCAGCAAAAACAAAAATATATATGGAAACAGGTAAATCACCAAGATGGTAAAACATCAAAAGGTTCTCAAATTAAACAAATTGAAGTAGGAGGACTGTCAATTATTGAACCAAAACAAATAGCTAAAGTTTTTGCAGAGCATTTTGCCACCTCCACAAAAAAAGCACTAGTCTCATTTCAATGATTTGAATTTTAAAAATTTTACTGCGTCATGTGTCTCTCAGACCTTTTACTTCTCTCCTGTTGATCATCGTGATGTAATTGAAGTTATTCACTCATTAAAAAATGTTAACTCTATGGGCATTGACTGCATTTCCACAAAGATAATAAAACGTATTAGTCATCACATCTCTCAAATTTTAGCAGACTTAATCAATCAGTCTATTCAGCTAGGTATTTTCCCAGATTATCTGAAAGTAGGATATGTAACTCCTATCTTTAAAAAAGGTGATAATAATTTAATTGATAATTATAGACCTATTACAGTGCCTACAATTTTAAGCAAAATCTTTGAAAAGTGTGTCCACAAAAAAATGCTAATATTTCTTAAAAAATATGAAATAATATGCAAAAATCAAAATGGATTCCTTCCAGAAAAATCTACTGAAAGTGCAGCAATAGATCTTTTTAATTTCATACATACTTCTATCGATCAAAAGTTGTTTGTGGGTGCGCTTTTCTTTGATTTGTCAAAGGCGTTTGATTCAATCAACTTAGATGTCGCTATTCAAAAATTGGAAGGGCTTGGTTTTAGAGGTAACTTTTTGTCTTGGTTGTCATCTTATATAAATAACAGACAGATCTATGTCAAAGTCGGAAATTGTAAATCTGAACTAGAAAGTGTTGATATGGGTGTGCCTCAGGGATCAATTTTAGGACCTCTAATTTTTCTATGCTACATAAATGATATGCCTAATCATATTAACTCAGAAAACATAATTTTATATGCAGATGACACAACAATTGCCACCAACGCACAATCAGTAGATGAATTAATTAGTAAATTAAATGTTTTATCTAATGAGTTTACATCATGGTGTTATAGAAATTCTTTAATTGTTAATTCAAACAAAACCGTTTGCCTTCAGTTCTACTCCAGAAATCAAATTACCCAGAATTGTAAAGTAAATGTCAATAATGCAGAAATTATGCTCTCAGATGTTACAACATTTTTGGGCATACATATTGATAGCAATATGGGTTGGGATAGCCAAATATCTAATGTTTGTAAAAAATTAAACAGCACATACTATGCAATACTAAAATTAAAATCAATATTTACCAAAGAGCAACTGCTTAATGTCTACTATGCTTTAGCATATTCTCATATATCATACAACATTATTCTTTGGGGTGATGCAGTCAATGCATCTAAAGTATTTATCTTACAGAAAAGAATAATCCGGCTTATTTTTAATCTAGAATTAATGCAAACTTGTAAATATAACTTCAAAAAATTTAAAATATTAACATTTCCCTGTATTTACATTTATAAAACGTTGCTATATGCTAAACGCAACATACACCAATTTTTACAAAATTCAAATTATCATGAATACTCAACTAGGAATGCAAATTTATTCAGAACACCAAGACATTCAACAGCATTATTTGAGAAATCGCCTGAATTTGTTGGAATTAAATTTTTTAATCAACTCCCTGATTTCACTAAATCTGAAAAGAAATATGAACCTTTTAAAAGAAAACTTAAAAACTATTTAGTAGATTCATGTTTTTATAATTTATCTGAATACCACCATATTTTAAGGTAAATGTTTTTCTAATTGTATATTTTTAATGTGCATGTCTTAGATATGTATATATATATATATTTTTTTTTTGTATACTGTACCTATATTTATTTGTATTTTAATATTTTTTATTCATATATATTATGACTTATCCTATATCATGTAACATGATCCTAAAGGACAAATAAACTATTATTATTATTATAAGTGGAGCAATTGATTGTTTAAAATGTTTGGCAAAATTCAAAATAAAAAGAAGTAGGATAAATGTGGAAATAATGGTTGCTGCTTTAGTAATGGCCACTTCAGCACTGTTAATACTTTTGTTTGTTTATTAACTTAATTAAACGTTTGTACAGCTAGTTCAGAGTCCCTTAGAAATTAACATTTTATTTTGTGAGTTCAAATTTATGAAGGTATGGTTTGATAAAACTGTGAATGCTTAATAGTGGTTAGCCAGGGTGACCATTAAAACTAACTTATTTCATTAAAGGTCACACTATAGGTGTCGCTGGTATCCCTAAGAGATTTAGGTGTCTTCTAAGGCCACAGTGTCCCATAATGAGTATCATTAGTCTTAAATTTGTTGCTGAGAAGGTTTAGCAGTTAATTTGTCTGCCATGAATATTTTGGACTGCCTGAGTCCAGGAAGTTCCAACAAGAGCTTCTGATGTTATATATTTACCTGTTTATTAGGACCTCTGAACATGTTGAAATTCCACATGTGTGTTGTTATCCAATTAGTTTTTTCAGCTCCCTTCCTAGCTAAGAGATATGCTTACTAGTTTTTCAAACCTCCCTCATGTTCCAGCATCTATTCAAGAGTGACCTTGTTATGTTCACTAAAAGAGCCATTTAGCATAATCTGGACACATGCATGTTTAGACTAATGGTCCTCCCTGAGTTTGCATGGTAAATCCCAGCTCCTGTACTGTTTTGCATCTTCTGTCAGAATACCAGAATGATTCGTTTTGTATTTCTCTATGTTTCCGAGTTTTGCCCCTTTCTGGTATCTGAATATAGAAAAGTTTCCTAAAGTAATGAACAGTACTTAGCTCCTTTATTCCTCGCAGGTTCATTTTTCTTGTAAACTGAACAACAGAGGTTTTTGCTGGATTTGTTGGCAACCCTTCTTTTAAGCACCATCTTGACGATATTTAATGCCTGGCTACATCCTTTCAGAAAGAACAGCCTCAAATGTACCCTTTGCTATAAGGCTTATATAGACTGCAAATGCTTGCACATATAGGTTTTCTCTTTAACTCTTATAAGAAAGTATCAACCACCCAGGTCCACATGAGTGAAGACATTATACAATAATTAAGAAACACCTACTTCAACTACTACTGCAATGTGTGTCCATAACCTATGATGTAATGCCAATTTCTAAATCCAAAGTAGCTTTTTTGTATAATTAAAATAATTTTTAAATCCTAACGTTTTTTATGTTTCCTGAAGTCTTTTTATGATAAATTAAAAAGAATAATTTTAATGCCAACAGTTTCTTGTTTTTTAATGTATACAATAAGTTAACTTTTCCAACATGAAACCAGATAATGGTATAGAAAACCAATGCTATTGAATAGACAGAAATAGAGCATATTTGAAATCCCACTAGAGGTGTAACCATGCATCCAATCATGACAGGCGAGTCAAGAGCTACTCTTTTTATTTAACTTGCCATCATTTTTAACCTAAAAATTTCTTGTGAATGTCCATTACTCCCACATTTACCCTGGTTTTAAATGGTATTAGTGAAGGATCCCAAAAGTATTATTCGAAAAATACAACCTCTCGAGCCTTTTAATAATAAAAAAAAACAGATTATTTAACACTGTCCAATGCTTTGGTGAATTCAGTGTACATTGTTGAATGTGAGAAAGAGTAAAGCACTGAAAAGATGTCTTCCACATATAAATAAGTTGATTACAGGAGATTTTTGATAAAAAATTTCATGTAAGGTATTATGTTATCAAAGATGCTACATTATTTTTATCAATTGGATTTTTTTGGGAGCTGGAGGAGACTGACATTAACTTTTATGTCCCATTCACAAACATTATTTCCTGAAAGTTAAAGATGTATATGCGTACCTGCGACTGTTCTTCCAGGACCTTGGTCCCTGAACAAATCCAGAAGGAACAGCTCCTTCTCTGGAATTTTGTCTGACTACTTTTTTGGGTCTACGCTTCAAAATACTCTCGCTAGCGGTGGCATTTTCCTTAGCAGCTAGCTCTTCGTTAACCACTTTGTCTATGTCTGCACTTACATCCACTGTTACATCCCCCTTATCGGAAGCCATTTTTGCTTCAACGCAAAAATGAAAATAGTTTAAGTTATCAAATCCTCTTTACTTTCCAACTTCAAAAATAATACCTATAATAAAATAGTTTGTTCTATTTACAAAAATAAAGTTATATTTATATGGTTTATAATACACGTCAATACGGACTACGTGACTTACTCAAATTCACAATTTTATTTAGAAATTAGGCAGTAAAAAGAAGTAAAAAATATATGAAACGGAATTTTTTTCTCTAAAAAAACTCAATATGCAAACAAAATGTGTTAATCAATGGCTGTAGATGTTTCTAGAACAGCGTGCAAGAAGTAAACAATAACAATATCGCCAATCCCAGCTGGTCGCTACTCGTGTTGGAAGTGTTGAAAGGAGTAGATAAAACAAGGTTAACACGTTAAATTTAATGTTTCTACAAGCAAAATAATTTAGGAACTTACCTGGTACTTAAATGGAAAATTATCTTAAGTATAATATAAAATAAAGCATAAATAGGAAGATATATCTTTTTGCGCAACACGCTCCACAACACAACCGCCCGAATATAATAACATACACATTAATTGTTACTACACGTCAGCCTCAACCGTCACACGTCTATTTTTATTCTGTTTCACATGAAAATTCTAAAGATAGAAAGAAACCAAGAAAGGGTGAAAGGGATGAAGGATGAAGTTTTGACAATCAAGTTGCGACTACTTGGGACCATAAAATAAATATTTGCAAAAAAATATATATGGGAAATATGTTAAAACAAATAATAAAAACGAGGTAAAAATAGATAAACCTTCAAATCAGTTCTGCTTTTTGTTATGTTAGCTAGAAAAAGGTGTCACTGTTTATGTCTAGCTACTATGTGCTACAAATAATCAAGAGGTAAGTGGGGCGACATATTTCGTGCTTCAGGATATTTAATATTATTGCTGCGTTTGAGAATCCACATCGGATGCATTTTTTACATCTCGAGCGTTTTTTTATCCACATCGGACACATCTGTCCCATTACATTTACGTATACTGAATCACGTGATCAAAGATTTTTTACATCTCAGATGAATCCGATGTGGATTCTCAAACGCGGTATTTGTATCACATAAATCGATGGCTCAATCAAATACTGCCACAACTAAAATACTATTGTATCGAGAAATTTCATTTTGAAATTTTGTAAGTCTCTATTATCACTATTTTGTTTTTGATAAAATCTTTATATTTTATTTAAAATCTTCGATATTTTGCTGTTAAAATTAACGATTACGATTATAAAAGCGTTATTGCATAGCTTGTAAAAAATTTGGGTGTTTTTGCAGAAAATAACTCGAATTGAGGTAGTTTTAGACATAGTTTGTGGCTAGATTTTAAATGATTTTCGGGCATCTTCAAGGATATTTTTGTTTATGGCGGTATTTAAAGTAAAACCTTAATGATATTTTGCATCCATTGAACCAAAAATGTCATTTTCTTTGTTTTTTGACTTGTGGCGGTTCTTGATTGGACCATCGAAATGTGATTTTTACTTTGCTTTCAAGGGTTATTAAATAAGTTATACGTTTTTATCACCGTTACTTTTTTTTGAAATGTCAATATATAGGTAGGATAAAGCTTTTAGGACTGGCATGAGTTGGAATTAACAAAAAAATATTGATATAAATCAGTGGTTCTTGGGGGCGCGGGAGGTCTTCAGGGGGGGGGGGTGATAGAAGGCTCAGAGCAAAATAAGGGGAGCGGTGACACGTATTGAAATAGTATATTGTGCAACAAGTGTTGAACATAGCACACGAGTTACACACTATACTTTTCCTACGGCTGCACTTTATTATCATATATTTTAAATGGTATTGTTAGTAAAGCAAATCTTATTTCAAACGACCAGAACTGATTTATATTTATTTATAACCATACAGTTATACATACATATATTTACAACAATGAACAATAACAACAATGAAAAAACAATTTTTATTCGCTTATTAATAGTCTTCCCTGCTGTTTTATTTGAAATTATAATTTACTGTTATGTTAGAACAATTTTTAAAATTAATTGTAGGACAGTCCTGCCCTTTCAACACATTTTCAGTTATAGTTATGTTTTTTTCGCCATTTAAATTTTTCGTAAGGGTTGTTCCCCTCCAGTAAGGGATGAAATTAAGGGTAAACTAATCATACAAAAATGTACATTGTAGAAAACAAAAATCGACCTGTCTCGGCGATTTTCCTAACAAGACTCCAGTAACGAGTTAGTTAGGGGGGTAAGACTTATGATGCTCACTGTATGTATATGAAGTTCTGTAAATGTCTTTTTTGAAGCGCACAAAAGAATAATTGAACACACTTTGAATTCTCACGATCCGGCACTGTACTCATTATGAAGACTAGAGAGAAGGAGGCGAATCGGCAATGGTCAAATTTCAAATTTCTGTCCTGTTTATAAAGTTTGCGAAATTGACTGTAGTTGGCATGTCTAATGACAGCGGGGTCAATTTTCTATGTCAATGTAAAATGAAGTGATTTTTTAAAAAATTGTTGAAAATAATCAAAATAATGTGAAAAAAAGTACCTGAGTACAAGTAATATGAATGACAAAAAACATCAAAGCAAGATTTACGTCGTTCCAGATTGTAAAACAGGATAAAAATCAAATGTAAAACTAAAGAAAACACAAGAAGAAATCAATTCAATGTCTTTAGTCGTTTAGTCGTTTTAACCTGTCAGATTAAAACAAGAAAACCGACAATTCCGAAGCAGAAGCGGATGATTAAAACGCACCTATTAAAAATATTGCGCCAAGATGTAGGCAACACGTAATAAGGCATCAAAATGGCGGAGTTTTCTATCTCCTTTTAAAAGCACATACTTTGATTTTCTTTTACTATACGGAGAATGGTCGCACTGCACAGCTTTCTGAGTGCCTTTTAAAAGGAGATAGAAAACTCCACCATTTTGATCCCTTATTACGTGTTGCCTACATCTTGGCGCAATATTTTTAATAGGTGCGTTTTAATCATCCGCTTCTGCTTCGGAATTGTCGGTTTTCTTGTTTTAATCTGACAGGTTAGAACGACTGAACCGACAATTCCGGAAGCAGAAGCGGATGATTAAAACGCACCTGATATTTTGCTTGCTGCTGTCAGTGTCAGTGAATATTATTTTTGGAGTCACAGTTTATTGCTAAAGAATCAGTTAGCTCACTCGGACCAGTTGAAAGTTCCAAAATAACATCCACTCCAGGAATACAAATTCAGGATACGCAGAAGACTGCTGTTTTATTATAGGCGGTTGTCATATATTGTATTATCCGAGTTGCGCAGTGTATAAACTGGAACATTGAGATCAAAAGTGCCGACGCAGAGTGAGCGATCTGATTCTTTAGCTATAAACTGTGGCATAGGAATCAAAATGGCCGCGCCCTATGTTGGGCGTGTCGGACCTCTCTCTTGCACCGTATAGTAATCAAAGTATGTGTTAAAAAGGCACTCAGAAAGCTGCGCAGTGCGACCATTCTCCGTATAGTAAGAGAAAATCAAAGTATGTGGTTTTTTGGGACCGTATTTTGAGTATGCCGAGTCGTCTCCTTATCTCTAGTCCTCATAACTATCATGGCGAAATTTAAATAAACTATTCCGCCGGCAACCATGCACGAATCGACAGAATATCTGTCATAATTTTTTGTACGAATTTGTACACGAAATAATTCCTGTCGGTACGAGTGCATTTCAAGAAGTGGAAAAGAAACACGTAGCTCAGCCCACTATATCAAAACTTTTTTCAACCTCTTCTCGAGAAGATGACGACGGACTACGGGCTTCGTACAATATTTCATTGTTAATTGCTAAATCAAGAAAACCACATTCTATTGGAAAGATTTAATTTTACCGGCAGTGAAAGAAGTCAACCATACTGTGCTCCATAAACCAGCGCAGACATCCGAAAAATTCGTCTGAGCAACAGTTCCGTGCACAGACGAATCGGTGAGATGGCTAAAGGCATAAAAGACTCATTGTGTAATTATCTGAAGACATGCCAATTTTCAATTCAGCTGGATGATTCCACTTTACCAACTAATGAAGCATTTTTGTTGGCATATTATTTGCCGAAAACTTAGAAACAGATGCAAAAGGAGAATCCATATTTAAGACACCGAAAAAATTTTTGTGACGAAAAGGAAATTACTTTGAATAATATTTTATCAGCTACTACGGATGGCGCTCCTTCTATGACCGGGATACACAGAGGCTTCATAGCATACTTAAAAAATGAAGTTCCAGATGTGATTGGCATATACTGCGTCATTCATCGCCAGCATTTAGTTGCAAAAAATCTAAGTGAATGTCTACACACTTCATTGCAATGTCATCAGAGCAGTTAATACACATACTTTGATTACATACTATACGAGGAAAGAGAGAGGTCCGACACGCCCAACATAGGGCGCGGCCATTTTGAACCCTGTGACACAGTTTACAGCTAAAGAATCAGATCGCTCACTCTGCGTCGGCACTTTTGATCTCAATGTTTCAGTTTATACACTGTGCAACTCGGACACATACTTTGATTACTATACGGGGCAAGAGAGAGGTCCGACACGCCCAACATAGGGCGCGGCCATTTTGAACCCTATGACACAGTTTATAGCTAAAGAATCAGATCGCTCACTCTGTGTCGGCACTTTTTATCTCAATGTTCCAGTTTATACACTGCGCAACTCAGATAATACAATATATGACAAACGCCTATAATAAAACAGCAGTCTTCTGCGTGTCCTGAATTTGTATCCCTGGAGTGGATGTTATTTTGAAACTTTCAACTGGTCTGAGTGAGCTAACTGATTCTTTAGCAATAAACTGTGACTCCAAAAATAATATTCACTGACACTGACAGCAGCAAGCAAAATATCAGGTGCGTTTTAATCATCCGCTTCTGCTTCCGGAATTGTCGGTTCAGTCGTTCTAACCTGTCAGATTAAAACAAGAAAACCTACAATTCCGAAGCAGAAGCTGATGATTAAAACGCACCTATTAAAAATATTGCGCCAAGATGTAGGCAACACGTAATAAGGCATCAAAATGGCGGAGTTTTCTATCTCCTTTTAAAAGGCACTCAGAAAGCTGCGCAGTGCGACCATTCTCCGTATAGTAAAAGAAAATCAAAGTATGTGAACTCGGATAATACAATATGTGACAACCACCTATAATAAAACAGCAGTCTTCTGCGTATCCTGAATTTGTATCCCTGGAGTGGATGTTATTTTGGAACTTTCAACTGGTCCGAGTGAGCTAACTGATTCTTTAGCAATAAACTGTGACTTCAAAAATAATATTCACTGACAGCAGCAAGCAAAATATCAGGTGCGTTTTAATCATCCGGTTCTGCTTCCGGAATTGTCGGTTTAGTCGTTTTAACCTGTCAGATTAAAACAAGAAAACTGACAATTCCAAAGCAGAAGCGGATGATTAAAACGCACCTATTAAAAATATTGCGCCAAGATGTAGGCAACACGTAATAAGGGTTCAAAATGGCGGAGTTTTCTATCTCCTTTTAAAAGGCACTCAGAATGCTGCGCAGTGCGACCATTCTCCGTATAGTAAAAGAAAATCAAAGTATGTGAGTTAATAAGATCAGAAGCAACTCACTGAATGACAGATTATTTAGTCAGCTTTGCGTTGCCAATGATGAACCGTTTGTTACTTCACACAGAAGTGCGCTGATTACCAAGAGGTACTTGTGTGACTCGCTTTTACAATCTGTTTTATTCTGTGATAGAGTTCCTAGGAAACAAAGATAGATAATTACGCGATAACCACATCACATCAAAGCATGATGTTGCCTATACTTGACAG